ATGGCTGGGTGTGGCCATACAGCCTTCAATCTCCATAGATGCAATGGTGTTAGGTGGGATTTCTGCACTCTGGAGTGTCTTACACCTATGGGAGGAGAATGGCTCAGTTTGAAAACTAAAACCCCAGTTTATGGAAGAGAAATCCAGATTCTGTTGTTTCTCAAGCTTTCAAACTTTGGCGATGGCAGAGACACCACTGCATGGATGAATCGGAATGAACCTGGCTTTTGTGTTTGACTTGATACCCTAATAAACTGGGCTGGGGGTCTTCGCTGATACGTTGGTCTGACTTGTAATGCCAGAGCTCCTGCCTGTGCTTGCCAATGTGGAATAAAAAGGTGATGAAACAAAAGCAAAATCTAAAGAGTGCTAGGCATGAACTATACAGAGGCATGGAAGGATGAGATTTGTATCGGCAAATGTGGATCTCACTGTACACACACAAACCGATGAAAAAATATTTCCATCGATAATAATCGAAATGTGCAGCTAGAAAACATGAGAAAAATGTTGTTTGAGAATGTTTTACAGTTTGATTTAAGGAGCTTTACTTTGTATATTTTCCATGTGATGTTGTCAATTGTGTTTTAATGGTTATAAAGCTTTAACTTTTTGAATTTCAACATCTATTGTAATTAAATAATTATTGTCTGGCTCCCGCCATAATTTCCCACAATCAAGAACATTTAATTAGATAAACACTGAAAAAATGCTTAACACACATGATTTTGTGCAACTGTCAAAATGTAAATAGGAAAAAATGCTAAAAAATAAACATTGATATACATCTGTCAAAATTATAAAAAAATCAAACACCAATCCTGCCAAGCCCCACCATAAAGCACTGACCAACCCTTCGGCTCCAGACTCCAGTATAAACATGAGCCCTGTAGAACTGAAGAAAAAGAACCAGTGCATTAACGACTCTTTTTCTTCTAGCATGTCGGATGTGACTGCATAGCCACAGGGGACATGCACATACATGCCTGATGGCTTCTCTTCACTTGAGTGAGTTTGTTTGGAGGTAGGGTGACCAGACAGCAAGTGTGAAAAATCGGGATGGGGGTGGGAGGTAATAGGAGCCTATATAAGAAAAAGTCCCAAATATCGGGACTGTCCCTATAAAATCAGGACATCTGGTCACCCTATTTGGAGGACTAAGGTATTTTATTAGCTGTGCCACGCTAAGACCCTCTAACTGGCCTCTGCGTTGGGAAAGCATGGCTCATCTCCCAGCATTCTAGAAGCATCAGCCCAGACTACTGCTTCAATACTGACGTTCCATGGAATGCTCCGGTTTCCAAATGGCCTCGACACATTCCCATGGGGTATTAAAGGGTCACAAGTATCTCCATTATTGATGTCCTTAGCTAGGAGCAGAAATAATGTCCCTTAGACAATGCTATTCTCTGTTTGGAGTAGTGCTTGAGTCTTAGCAGAGAAGTGCCGGAATGGCACTGGTGTCTCATTCCTCAGTGCTGGAGGTACCGGAATGCGGTTCTGGCTCCCCAAAGAAGTCCTGGAACAGTATTCCAGCATAATTTGGGCCCTGGCTTGGCTGCAGGACTAAGGTTACTGGGACATCATGTTATCAGAGCAGAATTAGGAGTAACATCGCTTGGGCATTGGAACCTCAGGCTGTGCTGACTGGCGCTGCTCTTTGGAGCAGGTCCGGTGTGTAGACAGAGCCTAGCATGCAGTGGGTACTACTGAAATACTGATACACTAATAACAGAGCAATACTTCAACTGGTTTTACCTGCATCTGCTTGGCATGAGGAGCAAGATTTCGAGCTTTGGCACTTTCTGGTGGCTTGGAGGAAAAAACTGGGGCATCAATTTTAAGTCCCCAAGTGTGGCTCTCATGCACCCACAAGTGCCAGGGCTGTGTAATGACTGTGCAACCCAATGCAGGGGCCATGCTGTACTAAACAATGGTTCGCACAAAGCCTTAGGGAATATTGCAGAGGCCAACAGCGTTATCTGCTGTGCTAGGAAATCTTTAACTTCCATTAGACAGAGACCATGATGATGGGCTCCTTTATAAAAATAATAAAAAAGAAGCTACAGAACCATCTAGACAACTGCCAGGGAAGTATGGAAAGACTTGGATTAATTGTATCAGCTGAAGGATGAGGTGGCTAGGCTAAGATTTTCAAGAGTGCAGCACACTGGGCGCTGAGGTCTTGAAAATCTGGCCAGGAGCATCCCCTTGGGAGTGGCTGGGTGCTGAGCACTTTGGGCTCCCTGTCCTGTTTTAGGGGCAGAGCTTGTTTAAAAACCTGGCCTGCACCATGACTCTTGAGCCCTTTTGACAATGATACCTTGCTGAACAGGAACCCCTGGGATTTCGATTCATCCCAGCTCCTTTGTGCTCACTGTGCCTCTCTTTCTCTGCTCTCTCTCTAGCATTCAGGCCAGCCTGCTCCCAGTGGGCATTCAGTACTAGAGGAGGCAGCCTGAGAGAAGGGCACAGCTTCTCCATTTCCAGCCCGGCTCTTCGCAGCAGGGAACAATGCCACGTGGGGTGCTGGCTGTGCGATGGGCACAGCTACTGCTGTGCCAGCTTGTCTCCGCAGGAGTGAGGAGCAGGAAGAGCACTGGCTGTGGGGGAGCTCACAGCTACGGCTGGGCTCCAAGTCACACCCTGCTGGAGAGTGGAAAGTAGTCTTTTTTGGCAGAAACTGAAACTAATTCCTGCCTCTACCAGCCAGTGACTCTGTGTGTGCAGGGCTGGAGCTGTAATAAATCCAGCTCACCACAAGTGCATGCCAGGCCCCCAGCTCTCTTCAGCCGTCGCTGCACGTAATGACAGATGGGCGCTGGCTCTTTTATGCAAGGGACGTTTTTATCTACTAGGCCCTCCACACATTCAGCCAAAGAGATGCCCCAGCCTGTTACAAAACACCAGTCCACCCCCTAAGCCCCACCCGTGACACGGGGCTTCGTCACCCTCCCGGGTCTTACCAGAGCCCCCAGCACTCCCCAGTGCCCCTGGGTGGTGGCTGAGCAATTGACTACAACTCCTACCAGACGCTATGTGTGTGCGTGCGTGTGTGTGTGAAGTGTGCAGCACCGACCACGTGTTCTGTGGATAAATTATACCAGAACCAAATTCACATTGTAAAAAAGAACTCTGCCTTGGTGCTATTCACAGTCCAGCCCAGACACAATGTACAGTCCTAGGGAAGTGGTCTAGAAGCACTGGCCATTGGGGCACTTTTAACTGCAGCCTGTCTCTGACTTGCTTGGCTCTGAGAAGCCTCACAAAATACTGCACCATTCCCCACAGATTGTATGCACAACATAAAGGCCACTGGCCCAGGGCAGGCACAGATAGCAAGTGGGCTACTGTGGCACATACAAGGAAAAACCCTCACTGCTGGAACCACTGATGGAAATTAAAACCTTAATTAAACAAACCACACCTCAGTGACCAAAGCCAGCCAGGGCCGGCTTCTCTGACTATTAAGTTGTCGGGTGCAGACAGGCATCCAATGGGATTTTCCAGAGCACCCAAGCAGGGCTGATGCCCAATTCCAATTGATTTCAATGGGAGTTAGGCACCAAACCCACTCAGGTGCTTTGGAAAATCCCCCTAGGCACCTATTGGCATCATCAGGCTCCTAACTTCCTAACTCTGACCTTCAGTGTCTCTCAAAGGAGCGTCCTGACCCCAAGCATGCCAGTAACAGCCACAAACCTGTCCCCTCGATGCTCAACTCCTTTGACCCATGGGATTTCTCTCACTCTCCAACTCCAGGTTTGGCTCCTTTGCCCAATCCCGTCATTCTTGCACCTGGCTGCTCCCATTAGGACTCTTTCCCTTTCTTTACAAGGCTGTTTGCCTTTGTCCTCTCCTCATTGCGTCCACACACACACGTTAGTAAGTCCTCAACCCCCCTCTTTCCAGTGCTGTTCCCCACATCAGCCCCATTTTCTACAGGTCTGGTGACATGGAGCAGGGTGAGGCAGCCCAGCCCTGAATAAACCCAGCTGGAATTCCCAGCCCACACTGTGTAAACAAGGACGAGGGACGGTGCACTGGAGGATCTGGATTCTGCAGCTTTATGGATGTTTGTCTGCTTCCAAGTATCGTATACAGGATTTATGACCAGCTAAGGACCAGACTGGGAACCCCTGACACACAATTGTGTGTGCTTGGGCACAGAGTAGCTCCATTGAAGTCAATATGGCGAGTAACTCCACACCCATGTGAGTGAAGAGTTCACAGCCTGCCAGTGGACAGGACAGAAATGACCCGTCTGAACAAAAGACCCTGACAGTGTTTGCTGATTGCAAACGTGAGCCATCCAGGAAGTCTTGTGTTTTCATCCGCTGTCTCATACCTGCTCTGTGGGGCTGGGCCAGGTCTGGGGGGGCTGCAGGGGAAGTGAGCTCAGGGGCCCATGCTGGGCCTTTGCACAGCTCTGGAGAAGAGGCAGATGTGGGACACCACTGTATGTACGTCTGACAACAGGGGATGTGGAGTCAGGAAACTCTTCCTTGCCCCAGGATTCTCAAAGGACTTGAGCAAATGCAGGCATGGGACTACGTGTCATATGTGGGATAACGTATGGGGACGTGGGCTCGGAGTTCATCCAGCAGCTCAGTCAGCTCAATAGCGCCTAGGCTCAGGACATGAACATGTCTGTGCATGTGTCACAGGGCAGGCTCTGAGCCCTGCGCTCATCAGGCAATGCAAGGATGCCTGAGGTCCAGGTGCCATGCTATGTCAGCCCATGCTGCAGACAGTGGGAAGCCTTTAGTGCTGGGGCCTGTTTCAGATGGCAGCAGGGTGCCCAGGCTCGAGGTGCTGGGCTGGGCTCAGAGCACTATGCCATCACTGCATTGTATGTGGGCTCTGAGTGCACAGCCATGCTGTGTGACTGTCACCTCCCTGAACCTCAGTTTCCCTTGGGGGACAATATACTGACCTTTGAGATCAATGGCTGAACAGTGCTATAGAAGAGCTAGGTAGTTTCATTAAAATAAGGATACTTCCTTCTTTGCTCTTCTCTTGAACACTCTCCATGCCAGGCAGTGCAGATGCGACACGTCGGAACAGCTGGCGTAGCCCGGGGGTAAGAGAGGAGAGAGAGAAGGAATATGTCACTGACGTTCAGGGTTTGTATCCATAGCCATCATTTTTCATTCTGTATTTGACACAACTGAGAACAGCAAAACTCATCATGTGCAATGTTGGTGAAGTAAGGTTGGGGGCTGAGAGATGTGTCACTTCCACTCTGGTGTGACCAGATCAATGTGTAAGGTCTTGTTCATGGTAGAAAACTCACACTGGTGTAACTAAATGGATTTAAAAAGCACTTTATACCGATTTAACTTAATTCAGTAAATAAAGGGATTAAACTAACCCTGTATAAACATGATTTACTCTGGTTTAAGTGCAGCTACATAATGGATTTGCATCAGTATAACTAAATCAGTTTAGTAATGCAAGCAGGGTCTGAATGAATTCTCCCCTGACGTTAGCTGGGAGGGGGAGAGACTTCAGGAGCAAACTGTATTTACATGAACACACCTACTCTGCCAAGATGTCCAGCAGATAGAGTGGTGTTGTTAAAAGTGATCAACTTTGGCTGGTATTGGGTTACAAATCACTTTCGTACTGAATGCAGGAGTAGTGAAAGGTTGTTATCAATGTTGTTGTCTTTATTGTATGAGTAAAGAGGATTAGAACTGTGCTTAACCTGTCCCAAATGAGGGGGTCATCCTCAACTGAAAGGACCTTGTTAAGCCAGGGGCTCGAATGCCAGAGCCCTGTGAAAGTAAGAGGAGTGGCAACAGGTGTTCTAGTGAGGAGATGTGGCTTTCCCCTAAGGGTCCCTGGTCTGGTTTAATCTATTCCTCCCCAATGTTCAAAGCAGAGCTGAATCATAGAATATCAGGGTTGGAAGGGACCTCATGAGGTCATCTAGTCCAACCCCCTGCTCAAAGCCTGACCTTAAAAACCTCTAAGGAAATATGCTCTATTAGGAACCTTTGTTATTTTAAGTGCTTAAATGAAAGCTGAAATCACTTGTGGTGGGACAGCATTTCTGCTTAGCCTGCTAAAAGCTGAAAATCACTAAGAGACTGACCAGCAGAGAGGAAGGTGGCAGCAGAAGGTAATTGATAGTTGACCGGTGGAAGCGGAATGAGCAGCTGGCGAGGCGGCCAGACAGAGCAAGTGCTCAGATTGTAGAGCAAGCAAGGTGCCTTCTTCTCCGGCTGGGAGGTGAACTCACACAGATGTACCTCTAAACCCTGGGTCCTCACTGACTAAGGACAACCACTGTGAGTGGGGTATGGTGAGGGAACAGAGGAGAGCACAGCAAAGGAACTTTTGGTTTCAGAACTCAGGAACATGAGGCAGAAGACTCTGCCCCAGGCACTCTGGGAGGGGTGTTCTGCTCACAGTTTTATGATTATGAATCCTGCTTGTGGCATTTTCCCTAATTAATGTTGCGTGAATTCCACTCTGGTTTGTCTGTGAAAGTGTTAAGATGTTTTCTTTGGCAAGAGAAAAGAGAGTTACTTTGAAATGATGCAAGGAATATGTCTGATTTAAACAGAGAGAAGCAATTTACTCACATGCCTGGATGACTTGCCCAAAGCTCTAAGGGGGTTAATTTAAATTTGACATGTGCCGAGCAATCCTTCTTTTCCTTCCACTAGAATCAAAGACCCACCTTTGATTTTTGTCACCCATTTCCTGGCTGGATGTTGATAGGCATGGCATCAGCAGAGGAAGTAGTTAGACATATAGGGCAGATTCCCAGCTGGTATTAATCGGCATCCCTTCATTGAAGCTACAGTGATTTCCACTAGTTGGGGAGCTGGCCCTTCAAAGTTATCATTTGCACCTTCAGTTTACTGTGCCAAATAAGACTGTTTCTGAAAACCAGTCCCCTGTATGTCTATTGCCTCCATGTTCCAGTCTGTGATATTGCATGTTAGTATATTGTGTTAGTAAAGTGCTCTCACAGCTATCAGTCATAAACTTCTTCCATGGAAACTATTAGCATACATAGAACTTTCCTTTCTGTAGTGTTGTGCAGTGTGCACTCATATTGCATTACTCTGCAAAGTAAATAACCTCAACCAGGGAACAGCCATCCCCATCTACAGTAAACATGCAATCTGAGATACGGCATGTGTTATGTGAAAAATCATAATTTCTTCTTCTCAAATAATTTCTAAACAGTATCATTTACATATGATGATTAATTACAGGAGAACTGCTCATGTATCCCAGGTATGAGGCAATTTTATATCACATCTCTCATTCATACGAAGAAATGAGGACATTTCTATCTTAGGACATGATTTATTACATTGAGCCCAAGACAGGTATCTGTTAGCATTGACTGGTATTAACATGTAGTTTAGTGAATCTACATCTGCTTTGCTGCTGCAGCTGTAGAGCAAAAGGCAATGGTTAGTACTTAGATTTATCTCAAAGCTAATGCTGTGCTCAGGTGTCCTGTCCATTACACTTTTCAAATCCTTCATTCAGGGATCTAAACTGAGTCCTAGCTATACAGTGACCTGGGACTTCTTTCCCTGAGGTGCAAAAGGGACTACACATCCCTGTTTATTCATTTGCTTTAGTGAATATTTACCTCCTGGTCATTAATCTTGGTTATTTGTATAGTGGTAGCTCTTATGGGCCCCGATCTGGGCCCCAGCGCAGTCACCACAACAACAGGTAACAAACAATTATCAAAAGGTTTTAACAGAGTGAAAAGACAGCTCCCACTGCAAAGATCCCACTGAGCAGTGATCTCACCTCCAGAGCTGTTGCAGCAGCTAATGTGAAAGGGCCTCCCTGTTGTAATGCACTCAGTTTAATTAAATTTAGCAATCTGTTTCTGAGTCAAAGTTTTCCTTCATCTACAGCTTCCCAGCTGGCATGGAAGCTGCCCAGGCAATCCTTACTATTAAAGCCATGCCCGCCTAATCCTATTCAGAGTTCAGTGTCGAGTTGTGCAGACCATGTCAGACAAAGAGGCATGTATGTCATCATGCTCAGATTGATGTTGCAATGGACGGCATCCTGCTTGAGGCCTCACATGTGTAATCCCAGTTTTTACATATGTAAAAAGCACACCATGCCTTGCAAATCTATCCCTCCAGAGGGCACCAGGAGGAATCTAAGAGCACTTTACGTAGAAATGAATGAGTGATGGAGGGGAAGGTGGAAGAGCTTTCTGCTTCTAAAGCCAGTAAAGATACAATATTGCATCCTGTTACAATTTTCAATGGCCTTATTGCAACCTTTTGCTACTGTGGATACTTTCAGTTGCTGCAGTGAACCCCGCCAACCAGCTGGATGATCTTGCTACGATTCTGGCTGGAGCAGATCTTCCCTTACCTGTTTTACATTGTAGCCTGTCTTTGCACTGGTCTCGATAAACATGACGCTCAGTTCTTTGGCTCTCTGTTCTCCCTCTTCAATTGTTATCTGCCTGAGGACACACAGGAGAGAAGGGAAAACTGTAACTGTTCTAACCTTGCTGGGAAGGGCTGGAGAGAGGCCTAGCTTAAAAGTCTGGAGGGAGAAAGGGGAAGAGAATTGCGGTTGTCCATGGTCCTGAGCGCAGGCCTGGTTCCTCCCACCTCAGAGAGTAGATGGTTGAGGTCTTATGCCTGTGAAGCCACAAGACCCCACAAACAGATGCCATCACATGTGCCTCTGTGGCATGGGCTGCCTGGCAAAGTGCAGGCAAGGGAGGGTTTCAGTACCGAAATCCTTTGTGACTCAGCAAACAGAACGAGGGGGAGCTGAGGAGCCCAGCAGAGCCCATAGGAGTGTTTGAACCCCAGGGAGGGGGAGCTGAGCCCGGTCTGATCACACTTTGAACATCTGCTCAATCTGCTGAGAGTGGCGCCTCATTTTGGCATCATCAAGCAGGCAGGACATATTTTGTGGGTGGAGCTTGGAAGAGTTGAACCAGGGCTCCCCTCCCCCATTCGGCCCCAGGTGTGTGGGTGAGCACAGCACGAGATGGGAAAATCATTTGAACCCCTTTCCCGGCTGAACTCTCAGTGTCTATTCTGTGCCCATCAGAGCAGCACAGTCCTGTGAGCTCGGCCTCTGGGCTGCAGCAGGAACCCTCTTTACATGTCCTGGGCATGTTGATCTTTAAGGATGTACCTTAAGGGCAGCGCTGGAGGGTTAATGAATACATTGCCGGCCTATCTCTGTGCTGGCACAGGGTAAGAGGTTCGATTGGCACTAAACAGTATTCTCCTCTTCTTGGATTCTAGCAAAGTGCCTTAGTACAGAGGGCACTAGCCTGGGCGTGAGTGAACGCAGACACTGAATCCCTCTGCCAGCACAGGCTGGCTTCTCCAGCTCAGTTTTCTGATCAAATGGTGGAAAAAGTAGATTCTCCAGCTGCCTCTGCAGCCACCAGATCTGAGCTGTCCCACACAGGGTGTCTACACGGCACTTAGACATCTGCAGCTGGCCCGGGCCACCGGACTTGGGCCACGGGGTTAACCAGCTGCTTAGCCAGAGCCCCATCAGCCCAAGTCTGGGGGCAGGGACCAGTCGCGGGTGTCTAAGTGCAGTGTAGATATATCCTAGATTGCTCTGTCTCCCTAGGGCAGCTGGCCTTCTGCTGCCTGTCAAATCTATTCTTCTGACTGACTGACATCCGCATTCCCTGTCTCCTCAGCTGCCTTCTAGAGGCCTGAAGGAACAACCAGCATCTCAGACCTCTCCTGGGAAAAGGGGAGAACAATGGAAGCTGGAAGTCCTGCAAAGCTTAGCTTAATGCAGCCCTTCTTCCCTCTCCTCTCCCTGTAGACAGGCCCTGGGCATGCCCACTGCCAGGCTGCAAGAACACATCCATGGAGGAGAGACAGTGCATGTGCGGGCCCAACGGACACAGCTACCGAAGTTCTCCATCAGCAGCGCAGGGACACCGACAAACCTGCAGCGAGCACCCCCAGGGACACACTTCTTGAAGATAAAAACAACGAGGAGTTCTTGTGGCACCTCAGAGACTAACAAATTTATTTGGGCATAAGTTTTCGTGGTCTAGAACCCACTTCATCAGATGCATGGAGTGGAAAATACAGTAGCAGGTGTGTATATATATAATATCATATATAATGTATATATATAATATATATGTATACACACCTGCTACTGTATTTTCCACTCCATGCATCTGAATTGTCTCGTTAGACTGATTGCCGATTTGGGGGGGTCAGTCTAACGAGACAATTCAATTAACAGTAGAATACCAAGGGAGGAAAAATCACTTTTGTAGTGGTAATGAGGGTGGCCCATTTCAAACAGTTGACAAGAAGGTGTAGTAACAGCAGGGGGAAATTAGTATGGTAAAATTAGGTTTTGTAATGACCCATCCACTTCCAGTCTTTATTCAGGCCTAATTTGATGGTGCCCAGTTTGCAAATTAATTCCAGTTCTGCAGTTTCATGTTGGAGTCTGTTTTTGAAGTTTTTTTTTGTCAAAGAATTGCCACTTTTAAGTCTGTTATTGAGTGTCCAGGGAGACTGAAGTGTTCTCCTACTGGTTTTTGAATGTTGTAATTCCTGATGTCAGATTTGTGTCCATTTATTCTTTTGCATAGAGACTGTCCGGTTTGGCCAACGTACATGGCAGAGGGGCATTGCTGGCACATGATGGCATATATCACAAGGACTCCTCATTTTTGCTGATACAGACAAACACGGCTACCACTCTGAAACTTCTTAAAGATGAATGCCAAATTCTTCAGCAGTGGCGATAGAGGGGGGAATTGGAGGCTCTTTTAGCTGTTAATGGGTTGAAGGCTGATTGCTGTTTGGCCCCTTTCCTCTGCCCTCCAGCTGCAGCTCCTTTTGCCCACAGGTTGCTAGATAGCTGCCTGGAGCTACTGAAATATCTGTCACTTTGTCTGATCTAGCTTCATGTTTCCTGGTGTCTTGGAGGGCCACAAGAGGAGTGAGGGCCCTCCCCTACCTCCCAGCAGTATGGGTGTATTCTGACAACTCAGCTTTCTTCAGTGGAAACCAGGAACTCCACCTCCCTTTGCCCACCCAGATCTCTACTACTACATCCCCCTACCATCTCCAGAGCATGGGCTCCCTTCCTGTCTCTCTACTTTATCCACCCCTCTGCACCTTCTAGCCCACCCCCCTCCACCACCTTGCTCACTCTATTTCCCCCCCCCCCCGAATCTGGAAAACTCCATCTCTCCATCCCCAGAGTGACAGTTCTCTTCTGTAGCACCCATTCTTTGCTGCCAGATCGCTCTTGCTGGCCTCTAGCACATTCACCTCCTTTCAATCAGCGCAACACTGATGGTGAAGGGATGCTACCCTTGCAATCCCTGCTCCAGAATGGGAAGGGGCTGTGGCTTTATTCCACTTCTGCAGGAGACTGGGTCCCCAGCTCTCTAGTCTCCAGAGAGCTGTCTCACAGGGTCTCTCAAAATGCAAAGCCCTTATTTCCCTACCACTGAATTCCAGCTGTTCTGTTCACCGGGATGCTGCAGGGAGCTCCTATCAGACACCTGCCTAGAAGCACTGCATTTCTTGCAAAGAGTTTATCTTTTTTGTTCCATTTTGTCCCGTCCCCCATTTACTCTGGTGCATTTCAGTGGAATTCCGTTTCCTCTTGGAATATTTTTGTCAGCAGCTTTTAAAATGTTGGCAGTGTGACCTAGTTAATAGTGCACTGGACTGGGCCACAGAAGACCTGGATTCTAGTCCCAGTTCTGCCCCTGGCCTATAGGATAAGTTGCTTTGGCCCATAACCTCAAAGGATGCGCTATCTCCCACTAAAATCAATGTGCGTTAGGTGCCCAAATAGCTCTGAGGAACAAGGCCTTCAGCTCTGTACAATGAGGAGAATGATGCTTACCTCTTGGGAGAGCACTTTGAGATCTCTGGATAAGGGCTTGGCATTATTAGTCAGCAGCCACAACCAAAAATGCCCACTTCTTCCCAGCCAGTCTTCAACAGCTCATATTTTGATCCAGGCTGATTGGGACCCGTGGGCCCAGCTGAGTGCCTCCTGGCAGCATGTCCCTGAGCTAAACCAATCAGGGGCTGCTGCACCTACTGCAGTCAGGCTCAGGACCCCTATAAAAGGCAAGACAGGCTGCTGGGAGGGAGACAGGATCCTGCAGACTAGTAGCCATGGCCAGGAGGTTTGCACACATGGAAACTGATCTGCTTATGGAAGGAGCCATCAGCAGGGGGTTACTCCAATAACACTGGTCATGGATCTGTAAAGCAGGGGACTACATTTCCCATCAGCCCCACTGCATTCCTGCCCCAGGCCAGGTAAGGGGGAAGATCCTGAGCCGGGAGGTGACGGGGCTCTGGTTTGGGAGCGAGAGCTGCAGGGTAGCAGGGAGCTGGAAGGAAGCCCCGGGAATGGGGGAACTGTGCACAGAACCACTGTGACTGCTGGATGCTCCAGCTGGTGCAGGTCTGTGTGGGACTTCTGGGGGAGCAGTTGCAGTTGGGCACAGAATCAGTGCAGAGGGGCCCCAATGAGAGACACTAACTGAGCCTGGCTTGGGAACCCTCAAAGGCTTATTTGCTGGGACAGAGACTGGCCTGGAGTGGGCACCCCAGGCAGTAGCCCTGCAGAGCCCTGCTCTTGACTGGACTGCCCCAGGTATCCAGGCAGGAACTGCTATTGCTCACTTAGCCTCTGTCCCTAGTGTGTGTGCGGCCTTCCCCTTTCCTGCCAGCCTCAGTACAAACCTCTCCCTGAGCCATGTGTCTCAGTGGTTACTGGGACCCAACAGGGCTAGCGCGGCAGGGCCTAGCTGCTGCAGTACCTCCAGTCCTTGCCTCTAAGATGTGGTATGCTGGGCACGCTACTGGCACCCCAGTGCTTGGGGTACCGAGTAACCCCAGTAATGACACTTGGTTGGACAATCTGACACTCACAGTATTTCAGTGCCCTCCCCAAGGCAAAATGTAAAACTCAGTATGCTACCCACTGAGTTACCATGGGGCACAACAGGAAAAGAGGTGTCGTGGCTGTTGCAGCGATTTGAACATGGCCAGTCTTCCAACCGGAACAAGGGTCTCCCAATGGTACGTCAGTGCTTATCAGCTGTGACATCTGAGAATCTGTTCTTGAACTGCTGGGCTGTAAGGATAATGCCGCTCTCTTCCATATCCGGTCCCCACCCCCACCCTCCTGGCCCCTGGCTCCTCCTTTACCTCTTGTCTGCGAGGTCCGTCTTGTTGCCCACTAGCATAATGATGACATCACTTCCTCTTTCTGTCCTGACATCATCAATCCATTTGGATGTCTGCTGGAAGGAGTTGAGATCTGTGAGTGTGGAGACAAAACAGTGCAGGTGGCTATGAGAAAGAGAATGATTTTTGCCAATTGTGTGATCTGCTGTGGTAACTCGATTGACTTCCGTCGAGTTACTCCCGGTTTTACACTGGTCTCACTGAGAAAAGAATTGGATTCTGGGTCACTTTGGACAAGTCAAGTAATATCCCTGGTGTCTCAGTTTATTTCAGGGTCTGATCACACTTGACAGGGATGTTGTGAGGTTTAAAAATGTAAAGCTTATACTGCACCTTGCGGTGTTTATAGAAAGGCACTAAGTGCAAAGCATTCGTAACATTATCATTAAGTATTGTTTGCAGTGGCGTTGTAGCTGTCTTGGTCCCAGGATATTAGAGACAAGGTGAGTGAGGTTCAGTAAAAGAGATAGGACCATAGAATATTAGGGTTGGAAGAGACCTCAGGAGGTCATCTAGTCCAATCCCCTGTTCAAAGCAGGACCAACACCAACTAAATCATCCCAGCCAGGGCTTTGTCAAGCCGGGCCTTAAAAACCGCTAAGGATGGAGATTTCACCACCTCCCTAGGTAACCCATTCCAGTGCTTCACCACCCTCCTAGTGAAATAGTGTTTCCTAATATCCAACCTAGACCTCCCACTCTGCAACTTGAGACCATTGCTTCTTGTTCTGTCATCTGACAACACTGAGAACAGACTAGCTCCATCCTCTTTGGAACCCCCCTTCATGTAGTTGAAGGCTGCTGTCAAATCTCCCCTCACTCTTCTCTTCTGCAGACTAAATAACCCCAGTTCCCTCAGCCTCTCCTTATAAGTCCTTTGCCTCAGCCCCCTAATCATTTTCCTTGCCCTCTGCTGAACTTTCTCCCATTTGTCCACATCCCTTCTGTAGTGGGGGGACCGGAAATGGACATAATACTCCAGGTGTGGCTTCACCAGTGCCACATAGAGGGGCATAATCACTTCCCTCGATCTGCTGGCAATGCTCCTAGTAATACAGCCCAATATGCTGTTGGCCTTCTTGGCAACAAGGTTACATTGCTGACTCATATCCAGCTTCTCATCCACTGTAATCCCCAGGTCCTTTTCTGCAGAACTGCTGCTTAGCCAGTCAGTCCCCAGCCTGTAGTGGTGCATGGGATTCTTCCGTCCTAAGTGCAGGACTCTGCACTTGTCCTTGTTGAACCTCTTCAGATTTCTTTTGGCCGAATCCTCCAATTTGTCTAGGTCACTCTGGACTCTATCCCTACCCTCCAGCGTATCTACCTCTCCCCCCATCTTAGTGTCATCTGCAAACTTGCTGAGGGAGCCATTCATCCCATTATCCAGATCATTAATAAAGATGTTGAACAAAACTGGCCCCAGGACCGACCCCTGGGGCACTCCGCTTGATACCAGCTGCCAACTTGACATCGATCCATTGATCACTACCCGCTGAGACCGACAATCTAGCCAGCTTTCTATCCAGATTACCTCACTCACCTTGTCTCATTGCGTATTGTCCTTTATGTTACACTACACGCAGGCATGGAGCTGTACAGTGCCTCATGGGTTGGGATGTAAAGGGAGAAGGAAAGAAATCACGGAAAAGAGAACACCAAGTGAGTAGCTTGTGCAACAGGAACGATGGTGCTTACAGGGACAGAGCCAGTTAAGCGTCTGGGTGAGCCCTTCCAGAGGAAATATTGGAGAAGGACAGAAGAGATGAACAGAAAGATAATTAGACTTGGGAGTCATCAACGGAGAGGTGCCTGACAAACTCATGGGAGCATGAGAGATCAGCAGGGGCTAAAGTAAGGAGCATTCACATTGCCCCCTTCTCCTTGGCTAGTGCAAGGGGAGATCCCTTCCTGGTCCAACCCATGTTACCCTCTAAAGGGCACTAAAGGGAGACCATAGAGGGGAAGAGGGGCAGAGCTTGGGGGCACATAGGAAGAGCAGCATAGTTGAAGCCCACCAAAGAGAGGCTGACGGAGATGTTGGAAGAGTGAGAGAAGAATTGGAGGTGACGAATCGGTTTGAGGGCATCAGAAAGGTGATGGAGAGTGAGGACAATGGGCCTGGTTCTCCACTCCCCTGTGCAGAGTGTGACATGCCACCCCTGGCATGAGTGCATGGGAGCATTTCACCCCCAGTTGCACAGGGGGACTGGTCTGCACAAGGGGCAAGACGGGGAGGCGAGAGGGAGGAGCCAAGAGAAGGACTTTAACAGCGCTGGTGGCAGGAGTCTATGGTGGGAAGAGGCTGATGGCAGTAGGCCAGGGCGAGCTGCGGGGAAGGGGTCATGGAGGTTGGAACAGATCTCCTGTTCAAGGAGTCTGCGGAAGGAGGAATGGGGCTGAGAGTGGAAACAAAGGGATGTGCGAATGCCAGACAATCCCTGAGTAGAGGGAGGGTGCAGGAGAAAGGGCATGAGGAGGGGTACGAGGTGGAAGGTCAAACGGTGAAGGAAAATGAGGAAAAAGAGCCGTCAGCGGCTGTTATTACTTTTGTCCGTAACTTCCCACTTGCGTACTAAGCTCCACATGTCACCACCACCCTGGCTGCACGCGCCAGTTCTACCCAACTCCTGCCAGGATGGCACCTGACCCACCTCTTGAATCTACAACAGCAGAGAGGTTCACTCCGCTAAGGATGACATATTCTCTTGTGAATGTAGCTTCACTGGGGACTGTTCCTCCAGCCGGTAACTCAGCTCAATACACAAAGGGCTGGGCCCAGTCTCTGCTCTGGAGCTCTGTCGAGAACCCGCCGCCCATCAGAGAGAGCATGCAGAGAGGAGGCACGACAACTGAAACAGGGACTCGGGGTGTAGTCCTGTCCTGAGGAGCCTTTTAGCGACACACTGTGAATGAGCAATACATCCCCAGATCAGCTCCGTAACCCTGGCACCCTCCTGCTGCAGCCGCCTCCCTGCCCCCCGTGTCACTTCTCTGTCACTTTGCATTTCCATTTCTGTTAGAAGCAGCCATGACAGAAACCCCACATCCGTGCCACCAATGGGAGCGGAATACAAAGCAGAAAGAAAGGTCAGCGTGCCAAAGGCTGGCCTTGCCTTCGAGATCCACAGCAGCGGAAAGGCACTGGATCTCATTTTCAATCTCTGTAGCAGCAGAGCAGCCTGCAATGCTTGTTCAGCATGGAGACTGCCTTCTTGCTGGACAGGGCTGACTTGTATGGGCACCTCTCATCACCAGTGTACACAGGCCAGGCCTGGTTCTGAATTCTTGTCCTTGCTTCACAGCTGCTGCATTGTAGCTGAGAATCCCCAGGATAGGGCAATTTGCATAAATTGGAATTCATTTACACATATTTGCATGCCCGCGTTGCCTGTTTGTCCCACTCACAGCCGCTTCATGTATTCATTCCAGACACTCCAACCTGCATTCATTCTACACCTCCTTTTACCACCCCTCCCAATCTGGTTTTTCCAATCACACACACTCAGTGTGTGCAAATTCCCAAGATGCAACTCACCCCCAGTTCCTTCTGCACCCACCCAGGTTTACTGCCTGCACCCCCATCCATTGCTCATGCACCCCGCTGGACCTGCCCAGGCTGTGGGTTTCCACATTCTTCTAGAATGTTTTTGGGGGTGCAGGACACACCTGGTCTCCTAGGAAATCTCCTCCGATTGGCTGCTTTGCCCAGGCCTGCTGAATCTGAAAAGTGGGCCTGGCCATTTTTAGGGCGTCATACAGGACTCCCTCTTCAGGAAAGCCTTCTCCTGAGAACTGAGCTGCAGAACGGGCTGGATGGCTGCCCTAGGAAAGTTACCACTGGGACTGAATTCCTTGTAAGCAAGCAGCTTTGGCTTGTGAAGATGGGAGCTTTGTTCTTATAAAATAAAAATAAATTAATGGAGATATCCCATCTCCTAGAACTGGAAGGGACCTTGAAAGGTCATTGAGTCCAGCCCCCTGCCTTCACTAGCAGGACCAAATACTGATTTTTGCCCCAGACCCCTAAGTGGCCCCCTCAAGGATTGAACTCACAACCCTGGGTTTAGCAGGCCAATGCTCAAACCACTGAGCTATCCCTCCCCCCCTTCTTCCTCAAGGGAGCCATGCGCTTCCCCTTTCACATAGTGTCATCCTCTCCTTGGAGAGGCTTCAGGGATGGGACTAGGATGACCAGACAGCAAATATGAAAAATCAGGATGGGGGTGGGGGGTAATAGGAGCCTATATAAGAAAAAGACCCAAAAATCGTGACTGTCCCTATAAAATTGGGGCATCTGGTCACCCTAGATGGGACCCTAAGAGCAGGTCATCTTAGAACTATAGGGTTAGGAATAATACACACCAGGGGCCTGATTCTCCACTGCCATGTATCCTCATTTATGCCTGAGAAAACTGGGTGCTGGGTGCAATCCATTAGCATGGGAGAGGTCTGACTTGTGCAGTACAGGGGGCGAAGCACTAGCAGATCAGGTCCTATGTGTCACTTCCATCCTGACTGTGGCTCTGCTGAGGCCAACGGCGTTACTCCAGACATGACTTTGGTTCTCTGTGGTAGCATCCTATCTGATATAACTGTTCCACTGCTTACTGCTGGGATGTTGTGTAGCTGCTCGTGTTCCACAAGTGTATGAACACAAAGAACACAAATGTTCTAGGTCCACCAATGCTATTAGCCAGGATAGGCAGGGATGGTGTCCCTAGTCTCAGTTTGCCAGAAGCTGGGAATGAGAGACAGGGAATGGATCACTTGATGATTGCCTGTTCTGTTCATTCCCTCTGGGGCACCTGGCATTGTCCACTGTCGGAAGACAGATACTGGGCTAGATGGACCATTGGCCTGACCCAGTAGGGCCATTCTTATGTTCTTATCTAAACGTGGCTCTTCTGACATAGCAAATCTCTAATAGAATTTTACAAAAATAAACACGCAGCTAGCTATGAAGAGTACAAGCATTCTTCTCACTGATGTCTTGTATGATTCAATCTGTGAGCTATATCATATGATGGGCTAGTTCCTCAGTGGGCATCAATCAACATAGTGCTATTGACTTCAATGGAGCTGCGGCGATTCACACCCACTGAGGATCTATCCCAGCATTTCTGTCCAAGAAATAAATCCTAGACATGTTTGTCGAGCATCTGATGACATGACAGACCAACTGTCTTTCCCGTGAAATCACCTGCCCTTGGATGGATGCAGAGATTTACAAATCAATCACTTCTGAGGCATCCTCTTCCTAGTTATGGAATGGACATTGAGAAAGGTGGACTGTGGCTGGCCAGCCCTACATGCAGTGCCACTCTCCATGAAGATAGGATCTAGCTCACTGCCTACAGGCCCATCCATCTGAGCAGTGCACACGGTCCCTTTCCTATGATGTTTCTTCCTTCAGGAGTAAGCATGAGAAGTCCTTTGTAGCTCCTAAGCTCGTTTGTACCACTTACACTAGATCATACCAGTTACAGCTGTGCTTCAGTGCTGCTGCTGGCCATGTGAAGGACTCTGGAGTACATCTCAGACCTGCACACAACTGAGCAGAAACAGACAACCCTTTCTGAGACAGCAAATGGGTGGGGGAAACTCAGGCATCAAAGAATAGTTCAGAATGGAGTATATTTGTCTCTAGCATCATAGGGATGAATGGTACTTGGCAGTGAAAATAAAGGCACAGTTTCTGCCCTGGGGAGCCTCTATTCGAGGTGATGTTGATTAGTGACCATGCTGAGGGAAAAAGCATCATTTAAATTTTTGAAGTCAAATCCTAATAAGGAAAAGCGTAAGGAGCATCAATTCTGGCAAATAAAATGTAGAAGTGTAACAAGGCAGGGCAAGAAGGAATTTGAGAAGCAACTTACTAAAGATGCAAAAACTAACAGGCAGTGGGGGCATTAGACAACAAATGTGTTAAATGAGCACTCAGTGAAGACAAGGCCTTTGCAGAGAAGCTAAATGAATTCTTTGCATCTGTCTTCACTGCAGACAATGTGAGGGAGATTCCCACATCAGAGCTATTCTTTTTGGGCAACAGAGCTGAAGTATTGTCCCAGACTGATTCATCAATATAAGAGGTTTTAGAACCGACTGACAAACTAAACAGTAATGAGTTGTCAGGACCAGATAGTATTCACCCAAGAGTTCTGAAGGAACTCACATGTGAAATTGCAGAACTACTAACTGTGGTATGTAACCTATCACGTAAATCAGCTTCTGTATCAGATGACTGGAAGGTAGCTAATGTAAAGCCGAGTTTTGAAAAGGGCTCCAAAGGAGATCCTCGCAATTACAGGCCAGTGAGCCTGGCTTCAGTACCAGTCAAATTGGTAGAAACTCTAGTAAAGAACAAAGTCATCACACACACAAAGAAACACAATCTATTAGGGAAGAATCAACACGGCTTTTGTAAAGGGAAATCTATTAGAATTCTCTGAGGGAGTCAACAAGCATGTGGAGAAGGGTGATCCAGTCAATATAGTATACTTGGACTTTCAGAAAGCCTTTGACAAGGTCCCTCACCAAAGGCTCCTAAGGAAACTAAGTAGTCATGGGATAAGAGGGAAGGTCCTCTTATGGGTCAGTAACTGGTTAAAATACAGGAAAAAAAGGATAGGAATAAATGGTCAATTTTTACAATGGAGAGAGGTGAACAGGAGGGTTCCCCAAGGATCTTTCCTGGGACCTGTGCTGTTCAACCTATTCATTAATGATCTGGAAAAGGGGGTGAAATAGCAAAGTTTGCAGATGTTACAAAATTATTCCAAGACAAGTCCAAAGCAGACTGTGAGGTGTTACAGAGGGATCTCACAAAACAGGGGGACTGGGCAACAAAATGGCCAAAGAAATTCAGGATGGATAAGTGCAAAATAATGCACATTGGAAAACAATCCCTCTATATGTATAAAATGATGGGTTCTAAATTAGCTGTTACCACCCAAGAAAGATGTTGGAATCATTGTGGACAGTTCTCTGAAAACTTCCATTCAGTGCACAGCAATGGTCAAAAAGGCTTACAGTATGTTAGGAATTCTTAGGAAAGAGATAGAAAATAAGACTGAAAATAGCATAATGTCACTATATAAAGTCATGGTGCACACACATCTTGAATACTGTGTCCAGTTCTGATCACCCCATCTCAAAAAGAACACAGTAGGACTGGAAAAGGTTCAGAGAAGGACAACAAAGATGAATAGGGGTATGGAACGCCTTCCATACGAGGAGAGACTAAAAAGATTAGGGCTGTTCAGCTTAGAAAAGAGACAACTACACGGGGATATGATGATAGAAGTCTATAAAATGCCAATCAGTGGGGGGAAAGTGAATACAGAAGTGTTATTTACTCTTTCCCACAATACAAAAATCAGGGATTATCAATTAAATTAATTCAAACAAGAGAAAGTACTTTTTCACACAACATACAGTCAACCTCTGGAACTCATTGCCATGGGACATTGTGAAGGCCAAAAGTATAACTGGGTTCAAAAAAGAATTGAATAAGTTCATGAAAGACAGGTCCACCAATGGCTATTAGCCAGGATGGTCAGGGATTAAACCCTATGCTTGACTGCCAGCAGCCAGGAGTGGAAGACGAGGTGGATTGTTCCATAATTACCCTGTTCTGTACACTCCTCCTGAAGCTCTGGTATGGGCCACTGTTGGAGATAGAATACTAGGGAAGATGGATCATGGTCTGACCCAGAGTGGCAGCTCTTATGAGTCCAGTTCCACTTCACAGTGCCCCTTGGTTCCTTGTCCTGTACCTACTATCTCCCTTGTTCTGTGTTACATCTGTGGTATAAAAACACAGTTCCAGACTCATTAGCCAATTGTTTAATTAAATGTAACAAAAGCACTGAAGCAAGCCAGTTCCATAGCCTGCCCAATGCTCTGCCCTGCACAAGACCTATGGGAGCCAGCTGAGTTCTGCTGCATAGCCAGCGGGGACAGGTACTCCTGGGCACTGGCCTTGGAACAAGGGATGTCCTTGGGTCACCTTCAAGTACAGGCTGTCCCCCAACCAGTGTTCACGAGCTCTGGAGAGGGGAGTAGCCAGTGCTGTTCACTATGAGAACATGCCCTCTGATTCACTACACACTACACTCACTACGCACTGACATGGGGACTCTGTGGGGGGAAGATGAGGGACCTTCTGTGTCTAAACCAGTAAAACCGTGTGTTCGTATAGCGCCTAGCCCCAAGGTAGTAGAAATAACAATAAAAAAGAGTGACTACACGAGATCCCTGGGGATGGATCCTCCACCTCCCCACACCTCGTGCAGGCCTGCACCCCTGTGCCAAGCACTCCCACTACAGCTCCGGTTGCAGTTTTCAGCCACTTTACGCTGACGGCCAAGACTCCCCCAGCTAGACTCTGAGAGCCTTTGGGACCAGCTCCCAGACCCACAGAGCCAAGGGCTGTAAAGCTGCCCTAATAGGCCATCCCTGGTTGGCGTGGCAGCCCCCTGGAGTCTGTCTTAAGAGGCACAATTTAGAGCGCCTCAGGAACCAGGGGAATGCAAAGTTGATGATCAGCCACATTTGCTATCCAGCACCCCCTCAGGTCCTGCGCTGAGCAGAGCTTGGCCATACTGGAGCTGTAGGAGACCTTGTATGTATCTGAGGTTCTAGACAACTTTGATTTCCCTCTCGTCTGCACTTACCCCTCCCCACTGCACAGCATTTTTTGCAGTACATCCCTGCTTTGGAGCCGATTCTGGCTCCCTGCCCTGCATTACTGCCTTCCTAAATGGTGGCCCACATCCACGCTGGGTAGCAGCGGAGTAGCATCTGCCATTCCAGCACCAAGCATGGGCACACGGACATTGGGACGGAAAGCATGACTCACTTGTGATGTCATAGACAACCACGGCCACTGTTGAGTCACGAATGTAGCTGGGGATCAGGCTTCGGAACCTCTCCTGGCCCGCCGTGTCCCAGAGCTGCAATCGGACCTGCCGGGGGAGGGGGCAGATGAGAGACAAACAATTAGCAGGAGAAACAAAAAGAAAGGAGGAATTGAGTGGTGAAGGCAGAAGGGAAGAACAGGAGAGGTGGTTAGGGTGGAGTTTTCTAAAGAGCCCAAGGGAGATCAGTGCCAATGAGACTCAGGCTGCTAACTTCCACAGGTTGCGTTGAAACTCCCAGCCTCAGACAACAGTTTTGCGACTCTCTCTTCATCTATCTTTAACATTCCCTTTGGCGTTCCATTTGGAAATATTGCAGTCCTCATTTCCTGTCCTAGTCTGTTAGGAGGTGTTGCTGGGTGCTGTTAAGTGGCTGCCATGTTCCATCCCAGAAGGAACTACATTTCAAGTGTGGGTGAAGTCCAAACTTCGTTAAGCTGTTTGGAGCAATGAAAGGGCATGGTATAGAAATAGGAGCTGTTACAGGAGTGTGAATAGAGGCATAAGGGATTTTTCGATTTGCTGGCAATTTTGGGGAAAAAATTAGTTTCAAGTTGACCCGAAAATGAATTTTTCAAAATTTTGGCAAATCGAAAAGTTAAAAAAATAAATGTTTGTTATGGGTTGAACAAAATGCTAAGCATTCTTTAAAACATTTTTAAAATAAAACATTGAAGGACTTTTCATAACAAGGTCATTTTGAATAAAAAATCAAATTGTTTCATTTCAAAACCTTCTAACCAAAATGTTTGGTCTTTTTCAGGTTTTTGGGCTGGGGGGAGGGTTTTGACACAAACAATTTGGCAGAAATGACACAAATCTGCAAAATGTTTCAGTGTCTCCAAATCTGCATTTTTTTCCAGTTGAAAATTTTTCATCCTGCTCTCCTCAGCTGGCGAAGCAGTGAGAGGGAGCCCAGGACTGCAGGAACATGGAGATGGAATAACTATACATGTTTTAGTGCTAGATTGACAACCCTGGCGAGTGAAGTTCTCCTTTTCTCCTCAGAACCGTTACAGCCCAGGCAGTGGCAGTGCAAGCCTCCCCACGCTATCCCAGCTGTGTGCCTCAAACCTACTTGGGAAGGACCTTCCCTAGGGCTCAAAGAGGAGTTCGGTCTCCCTGCCTATGAAGTTTGTTGCCCTAGCAGCAAAGGCCATATCTACACAGCCTGCGCCAGCGAACCTCCCAGCCCAGGTTGACAGATTCAGGCCTGTGCTACAAATGGTAGTGTGGACATAGCAGCTTGCGCTGGACCTTGGGCTCAGAAGCTGAGGCAGAGATTAGCCCAAGCTCCAGCTTGAGCCACAACTTCAAAGCGCTGTCTCCACAGCTAGGTTAAGCAAGATAACATGAGGCTTGCAGACCTGAGGACTGGGAGGCTCGCTGTCATGGGCTGTGTAGACATAGCCAAAGAGGTCAACTAGTGCCAGTCATGAGGGTGGTTTGGAGAATATGAACATCGGTCCACTGGGAACTGGAGTGAAGCCACCAACTCTGGTCACCCAGGCCAAACAGGTCATGGCCAACGTGGGATGGATTTCTACTGGCGCACAAAAGGCTCCATAGCCAATTAATAATCCAATAACTAATCTAGACTGAGATTTCCAAAAGAATTTAAGTATCAGAGGGGTAGCCGTGTTAGTCTGGATCTGTAAAAAGCGACAAAGAGTCCTGTGGCACTTTACAGATTAACAGAGGTATTGGAGCATATGCTTTCGGGGTGAATACCCACTTCGTCGGATGCATGTAGTGG